GGGCAGACCTGCTCGGGATAGCGATATGTGCGACGTGGAGGCAGCGTCGCCGCGCCCGCCAGTGTCCTTGTTTGTCCGTGATCGAGAAGGAGCGATCCTGCGCTGGTCGCTCTTGGGGCCGTCAGCGCGCGCCGCGTTGCTTTCCGACTCGGGCCCGCATTCGCCGCGGCCGCGTCGGGCAATGCATGGGGGCTGGGGGGGGGTGCGGGGGGCGCAAATTGCGCTTCTCCCGTTGTCCAAGATGGCAGAATGGCCGAGGCCCCGGGGTGCTTGGCAGACCGCGCGCCGCCCGAGCTTTGTCCGAGCCGGGAGGATGGTCGAGGTGCGGGGGGGGTCGGCAGACCGCGCGCTACCCCAGGTCTGATCTGGGAGGATGGCCGAGGTGCGGAGGGGGGCCAGCAGACCGCGCATTGCCTCAGGTCCATCCGAGCCGGCGGGGGGATGACCGAGGTGCGGGGGGGGCGGCAGACCGCACATTACCGCAGGTCCATCCGAGCCGGGAGGATGCCCGAGGTGCGGGGGGGGGGCACCAGACCGCGCACTACCCCAGGTCACTCGCTCGCAACACACTCTGAATCGTCGTCCGGGAGGATGGCCGAGGTGCGGGGGGGGGTCGGCAGACCGTGCGTTACCCAAGGTCCATCCGAGCCGGGATGATGCCCGAGGTGCCAGGGGTCATAGTACAATGGGGTGCCCACAGTGGGGCGCAGAGCAAGGCACCCTCCTCGGCGACGAGCTCGACGGCGAGATGCATGCCGCGGGGGGCGCCTTCAGGGTGGAGTGCCCTCCCTGGCGGAGATCTCTCGGGCGGGGCGCGACCGCCGCACGGGGCCCAGACTTTGCGGCGTCCGGCGACCGCCGCAACGGGCTGCGTGCAGGGCCTGGGGGGGTGGGGGGGGCGTTTTGGGGCGCCGCAAGACGGCTTCGCGCGCGGGCGCCAGTGGCTCCCTCGGAGATCAGCGGCGACATTTGCGGGGGCACTCCTGGGGGCCCGTGGGGTCAGGCCGTTGCCGCTCGCTGGGAAAACTCGTTTGGCGAAGGGCCCACCCATTTGCAGATGTGAGTGCCGCAGTTGTGGATATCGTCTTCGGTGGCGCTCCCCATGGGGCCACGAAGCGCGCGGGGGGCGCGCCGAAAAAATGGGTTGCGGGGGCGCATGGGGACGTTGCCGTTGAGGCCTTAGGTGGAGCTCCCCGTGGGGCCATTCCCGCTCGGCGTCTTCCGACGCAGGATGAGCCTGAGCGGCCGCGCGCGCGCCGTGTCTGCGCTTCACGGGCGGCGCCCTTCCAGTAGATTGGGGCCGGGCTGATGCGAGGCGCGGCGGTGCCCCCCCTCGCGCGCCGCGCTGAGTGGCGCCGTGGCGCCGGGGCCGCCGCGGGGGCGGCCGCCCTGCCCCCCGTCGCACTCTGCGATTCAATGCAGAATGGGCCAAGGTAGCCGCGCGAGCTGCGGCCCGGCCCCCGCGCGCGATTCCCTCTTCGGGCGGAGCCTGGGCCAGGTTGGCGCTGCGCGCGGTGGCCCTGCTCAGCGCCCCGCGGCTCTCCAGTGGGGCCACGCTAAGGTTGCCACGCGCGCGCGGCGGCCTTCGCCGCCCCTTTCCCCCGCGCACGGCAGTGCACATGCAGAGACAGTCAAGGCCGCCGCGCGCGCAGCGGCCTTGCCCCCCCCCCCGGGGAGCGCTCGTCAGTTCATATGTGACCAGGGCCTCCGTGCGCAGCAGAGACCCCCGCGCTTCGCGCAATGGCCGCCGCGGGCGCAGTAGCTTCCGCCGTCGCGCGCGTTTTTTTCTTCGTTGTCAGAATGACGAAGGGGCCGCCTCGCGCGTGGCCATGCGTGCGCGGAATTCTCCTATCCAAGATGGCCAAGGGGGCGCCGCGCGCTCGGCGGCCCCGCGGCTTCGCGCATGGCGTTTGCGCTGTTAGTGTTCAACATGATATGATGCTGCAGCTGTCGCCGCGCGCCGCGTTCCTGCCCCCATCGCGCATGGCGCTGCTCACTTGCAGGACGCCCCCCGCTCCAAGCTGCGCCCTGCCCCTCGCGCGCTGTGGCCTCGCCATTTGGTGCCAGTTTGTTCGCGCAGAGAGGGCCGGGGCCGCCGCGCGCGCTGCCCCGCGCAGGGCGCGCCAGGGCCGACGCGCGCGGCCGCCGTGCCTGCTCGGACACGGCGCCCCCGCGGCCGTGCCCATGCAGAGCTGGCCCGTTGACTCGGGCGCTGTGTTCTCCTAAGCCGAGGTGGCCAGGGTCGCTGCGCGCGCGGTGACCTTGCGCCCGCGCGCGTGGCTATCTTTTCAAGCAGATTGGGCCGGGGCCGACGCGCGCGCGGCAGATCTGCGCCCCTGCGGACGTAGCTGTTCAGGATTGGCCACGGGCGCCGCGCGCGCGGCGGCTCTGCCCCCTTGCCGCGCGTTGCGTTTTCTTTGCGCGCATCGACCAGAGCCGCCACGCGCGCGACCGCCGCGCGCCTGCGATGTTTTTCAACGCAGCACGGGCTGGGCCCGCCACGCGAGCGGCGGCCCCGCCCCTGCGCGCATTGCATTGGATTGCATTGCCGTGCAGAACTGGCAAGAGCCACCGCGAGCGCGGCGGCGCAGCATTCTGACGCGCTGCCGTGCATTTAAACCCAGAATTGGCTGGGGCTGTCGCGCGGGCGGCGGCTATGCCCGTTCGCGCGCTCGGGTGTTTCATTCGGGAAGGAGCAGGTCCGCCAGCCCCGCGGCGACCTTCTCCGCCCCCTCGCGCATAGCGCTGGCCTGTTCAGAATGGGCCAGGGCCGCCGCGCGAGCGGCCGCCTTGCCCCCTCTTCTCTTCCCCCCTGCCCTGCCCCATTGCGAGCGGCGGCGATGCTCCTGCGCGCGCGGTGTCTTGTCGCGCGCCATTTGTCAGGGGCGTCGCGCGCGCGGCGGCCGCGCCCCCCCCCTACCCTCTACCGCGCGATTCCTCCATTCATTCAAAATGAGCAGGGGGGCCGGGCGCGCGGCGGCCTGCCCATCGCGCGCTGTGTTTCAGCTCGCAGAATTGGGCAAGACCGCTGCGGGCGCGGCGGCGGAGTCACCGCGCGCGCGGCGTGCTCTCCCTCAGAAGTGGCCAGCGTAATCGCGCGCCGCGGCCCTGCCACTACGCGCGCTGCGTTCCCCGCGCAGGCCAGGCCAGCGCTGCCGCGCGCTCGCCGGCCGCCGCCGCGGTGATACCGCCCCCCGCGCATTGGGCGAGTCGGCCTCGCCCCTTCGCTATCTGGCTTGCTTTGGTCGGAGTTGGCCAGGGCGCCGCGCGCGCAGCTTCCCTGGCCCGCCGCGCGCGTTGCCGCATCCTGTTCGCATGAGCAGGGGCCGCCATGGCGGCGGCCCAGGCCCCTCGCGCGCTGCGTCGTTCCCTCCGCGATTCGCTTGAGCCGCTCCGCGCGCGGCGCCCCCGGCCCACCGCGCGCCGTTTCTTGTCGCGCAGAATTGGGCAGCCCCCCCCCACCGCCACGCCACTCCTCGCAAATGTGTTATTCCCCGCGCGCGGTGGGCGGAGGCTTCCGAGCCCGCGGCTGCCTTGGCGCGTCGCGCGTTTTATTTCGACGCGCCGAATCAGCCAAGGCCGTCGCGCGCGCGGCGCCCCGCCCCCTCGCGCGTTGGCCCCCTCCCCCGCGCGGCCTCGGCCAGTGCCGCAGCGCGCGCGGCGGCCCGCCAGGTCCTTTATCCATTGCGCACGCGGCCCAGGGCCATGGCGGCGGCCAGCGGGCCCGCTTCGCCAGAGCGGGGCAAGGGGCCCAGGGGCCGCCGCTCGCGCCCCGCCCCTTTCCGCGCCCCGTCTCTGGCCGCTGGTGCGTGCGTTCTCGCTTCCTTAAACGCATATCGCTTTTGCTCCCCAGGGCCTCTCATCGCATTGTTATGTGTTCTCTCTGGGCTCTTTGCAGGATCTGCATCTTTCCCATCGGCTCCCCCGCAGAGACCGTGCCCGCTCTCCTTCGCCAACCGAATGTTCATGATTTCGATTTCGTTGACCCCGCTCCGGATCTGTATATCTCCTGCGTGGCCGCGGCGCAAAATCCCCATCCGATCCATCAGCGCCCACTGCAAAACTTCCCATTGCTTCGCCGAGGGGACCAGTGCACTGCGACGCGGGAAGCGCCGTCAGAGCAGCTCCTGGCGTCGCAGCAAATTGCTTACCGATGCAAGCGCGCCGCGCAGTTTGATGTGACATCTGCCTTCGAACTGCCTCGCGCGGGCAGCAGCGCCCCCTTGCTCGCGGGAAAGATGCATAACCCCCCCAGCACATACAAGTGATGATGATGAGGGTGATGGTGATGGTGGTGGTGTTGGTGGTCGTGGTGATGTTGCTGATGCAGTTGACGGCGACGACGAAGATGGTGGTTGTGACGATGATGAGTTTGATGGTGATGCTGATGATAGTGGTGGCAATGATGGTGATGAGGGCGCGGATGTTGCTGCTGATGATGATGACGACGACGATGTCACTGATGACGTTGATTGTGGTGGTGATGACGATGATGATGCGACAATGTTATGATGAGGGTGAGGATGATGAGGATGAGTGTGGTGATGCTGTTTATGATGATCACGCTAACGGCGGCGACGACGACCACGATGACGATGATGATGGTGATGAAACGGATGGTGTCGGTGATGGTGAGGATGCTGCTGATGATGATAATGATGATGGGTGGGGCTTAGAGGATGCAACTAGTTTTATAGCTTCTGTTTATGATGATTCTGGCTGTGGAATGATGATGAGATTGGCGACGATGGTGGTGGTGAGGTTCCTCATGATGATGATGCCGATGATTATGATGATGATGGTGATGATGATGGCGATGATGATAGTGATAGTGATGATGCTGGTGATGGTGGTGGCGATGACAATGCTGATCGATGGCAGCCGGAACGCGTGCAGAAAACGTGGCGCGATATGGCAAAACAGCAACAGTGGCAGGATCGGCAAACGTGATGAGAGATAGGATGAGCAGGAGGAGCACGACCAGCGCGAGCAGAATTTTCGTGCCATTCGTCCAGACGACCGCGTCTGCGCCCCGTCCCGTTGCAGTTACGACGCTGTACATCCTGGGCGACCTGGTCGACCGGTGGCCCTCGAGCATGATGACTGTCGTCGGACCTCGCGGGCCCAGGCGTCTCAAAGCTCAGGGGCGCCGAGGGGGCGGGGTGGGGCGGGGCGGGGTGGGGTGGGAAAGCGTCGGCCCGGCATCGACAATACAGCACCGCCGCGGGTCGGCGACGTGCCCCCCTGGCGACGCAGCCGCGCACTCCTGTGCATGGTGGGGCGCCCGAGCTCCGATCGGCGATGAAAGGGCGATGCGCGCTCCACGGTTCCCCGCCTTTCTGGGCCGATCCCCTTCGCTCGGCGCCCCTGAGAAATAGTTCCAGAGTTGATGGGGCTCCGTTCGGCGATGCGGCTGCATGCAGAAAGCGATTTTCCCTTTTCTAACATCGCCGAGCATTCTGTCGCTCCATCGGCGATGAGACACGGTGATGCAGCCGTTTTTTATTCGGCCCTTTGCAGGAAGACTCAAAGTGGAGGGGCGGGGAGGGTGTTATTCACAACCCCGCTGTCGCGGGACTGCTCTTCGGGAAGCTTCTAAGCCAAGGCAAAACATCGCCACGGCCGATGGACCTCACCGGGACGGGTAGAGGACTCCAGGAGGGGAGGCGGGAGGTGGGAGGAGAGGACTTTGGGAGGAGAGGACTTCTGGCAGGAGAGGAGTTCTTGGAGGAGGGGAGGGAACTCTGGGAGGAGAGGTCGGAGGAGAGGGGTGGAGGGAAGAGGACTATGGGAGGAGAGGGCTCTGGGAGGGGAGGTGGGAAGCGGGCCATTCGCAGCTGAGGGTCTGTGTTTTCGCCCGGCCCCCTCTCCCCTCGAGGGATCGATGATGCGATGGGTTTGTCCACGGGCGCCGAGACCCTGGCGCTGCCACGTCACTTGCTCCCTTGCCAATCGGGGACCCGACTCGTCGGCGACGTACGACCCAACACCAAAGAGAGCGCGTTGCACGGGCGTTTGCCTTGGGAACATTCGGCGGCGCGTTTCGAACTGGGGGGTAGGCCCCCCCCCAACACTCGGCGCCGTCGATCAAAAACAGGCGGACTCTACTCCCCCCCAAACCCCCCACCTTTCCCGACCTCCCCCCTCCAAGGGGGGGGGTTCAAACCCCCCCCCATTGGCGCCAGCGCTGCCGCCGGCGCTGGCGGCCGCCAGCAGCGCCGACGGCGGGGACGCAGCGACGATGACCAGAAGCAGCTCAAGAGGGGGGAGTTCAAACTCCCGGCGCCGGCGCCGGCGCTGGCGGCGGCCAGCAGCGCCGGCGCTCGCGCCGGCGACAGCGGGGACGCAGCGACGATTACCACCACTACCACCACCACCACTACCACCACCACCGCCTCAACCCACCGCCACCACTGGCAACCCACCATACAACCACCACCACCACCACCACAGCCACCACCACCACCACAACCACCACCACCAGCACAAAAACCCACCACCACTCCCACCACCACCACCACCACCACAATCTACCACACCACGCCACCACCACCGCCACAACCACCACCACTACCAGCAGCACGGTCCATCACCACCACCGCAAACCACCAAACCACCACCACTGCCAGCACCACCGCCAGCACCGCTTCCACAAACCACCGCCACCACGACATCCCACTACCACCACCACCACCACAAACCACCACCGCACCACCACCAAACCCCACCACAACCACAACCAATTACCACAAGCACCATCACCACCACCACAAACCACCACCACGGTCCCACCAAAACCACCACCACCACCACCACCGCCACCACCGACCACCACAACCACCACCACCTCCACCACCACCACAACAAACCACCACACCACCACCTTCACTACAACCACCACCGCTGCCACCACCACCACCACCACAACCCACCACCACCACCGTCGTCCTCGTCGACGCTCCCCGCCGCCGCCGCCCGCTGCCGCAGGCGCCGGCGCCAGCCCATAAAAGAAATCGTCGTCCCCGTTGCCGCCAGCCGCCCGCCGACGCAGGCTCCGGCCCGAGGAGAGGAGGGAGGGAGGGGGGGGTCTGGTTCCAACCCCCCCGTTCCAAGCGACCACAGAACGCGCTCTTTCGAACATCAGCGTCTGCTGATCTGGAACTAGATACTCTGGGTTTCTTCAGAATCGTGGGGGGTCCCCCCCCGACGGGGGTCAGAGCGCCTTGTGCGCGCGGTGGCTACCCGCGACGGGGGTCGATGTGGGGCTGTCGGCGCGGGTGGCGCTCCCCCGACACTTATCGAGAAACTCGGAACATGCTGTCCTTTGCGACCCCCGCGTGCCCCGCGTGCACACTCCATTCTCGTCATTCCCTGCCCTTTCGCACGCTCCCCCCCAGCAGCCAAAACACCAACGGGGGCAGCTATTTCACGCGCGAAGCGCGAAGGTAATCGCGTTTCGCGCGTCGCGGCCTGTGCCGGAGATCTGCCTCTCTGCAAGGCTGCTTCGCGAGGGTCCGAATCTATAACCGATTGAAACCGCGCGTCGCTCCTCACCGGGCGGGACGCGCGGAACTCACTGGGCGATCCAGGACCTGAAGGGAAAAAGCAATGGAAGCCGACCGCCGCCACCGAGCCTCCGCAAGCCCACTCCAGATGCCAGCCCCCGGGGCCTGGCTGCGAGGCCGTGCCCGCCAGAGCCAGGGCCCCGAGCGGGCCTGCAGGCGTGGCGGTGGCGGCCCGCCTCCGCCTTCCGGCTCCTACGTCTCGTGAAAAGCGCCGGGGGGGTCGCCGCCCCCGCCGACAGTCCTGAGGCTGGCCCCTGTCGCGGATGGGCACCGCGCGTCGGTGCACCCCTGAGCGCGGTGTGCCGACAAGGCTGGGGCGGACCCTGTCGGAGGGGGACCCCCGCGTTCATGATCGAACCCGTGGCACAGAGAGGGGAATGGCCCTTCGGGTGGTCCTGTTGGGTAACTGCGAAAGGCAAGCGTCCCACCGGGCGCTCTGAATCATGCCGCGGCGCCCGATGCGTTCTCCAGGCCTGCCTGCACTCGGACATCCTCGCGATGTCCGTGCACGGTTCTGTCGGTATCCTGCCCCTGGCCATCGCCTTCCGTATCTCTTAGAAGCGACAGGGGCGACGACGAGATAAGGACGTTTAGGACGCTGACGACGTTGGCGTTGATGATGACGACGACGTCGGCGACGGAGGTGTGCTCCGACGTGGCTCCGCGCGCTGGCGGGGGGCCGTTCCTGTCGCGCTGGGGGGGGGCCAGGAGCTGTGGTGCCGGGCCTGGTGGAGAAGCTGGGGGACAACAAGATTGTCCCCTGGGGTGGTGGCGGGGAGCGGGCAGGCAGGCTGGCGGGCGGATGGCAATGGGGCGTGAGGAAGGTGAGGAGGAGGACGAGGACGAGGAGGAGGAGGAGGAGGAGGAGGAGGAGGAGGAGTAGGCAGCGGCGGCGTAGCTGGGGGTGGGCGAAGGAGGGGGGAAACGAGGAAAGAAAAAAACGGCAGGAATGAGTGAAAGAGGGGGAATGCGGACGGGGATGAGGCGAAACAGGACAAGGAGGATGATGACGGAATAGGGAGGGTAGGGAGACGCCTGCGAAGGGATGGGGATGAATGCAAAGGGAGGAAGGGAGAAGGGAGGAGGAGAGCGAGGAAAGACAGAGGAGAGACGAGGGAGGAGTGGGAGCAGAATAACAATAATGATGACGTTGAAGCAGGAAATTGAATAATGCTGATGACGATGACGACGACGATGATGATGATGCTGATGATGATGCTGATGATGCTGATGATGCTGATGATGAACGGATGAAATGATGAAATGATGGAATGATGTAATGATGCAGTGATGATCTGATGATGATGACGAGGATGATGATGAGGATGATGATGATGAGGATGATGGTGATGGTGGTGGTGGTGATGAGGATGATGAGGATGATGATGATGAGGAGAAGGAGGAGGAGAATGATGATGATGGTGGTGGTGGTGGTGGTGATGGTGGTGGTGATGGTAATGGTGATGGTGGTGGTGAGGATGAGGATGAGGATGAGGATGAGGATGAGGATGAGGATGAGGATGCGGATGCAGATGATGGGGATGATGATGATGATGACGATGACGATGACGATGATGATGATGATGATGATGATGATGATGATGACGACGACGACGATGATGATGATGATGATGATGATGATGATGATGATGATGATGATGATGATGATGATGATGATGATGATGAGATGATGATGATGAGGAGGAGGAGGAGGAGGAGGAAGGTGGATGGGGGAAAGAGGAACGACGAGAAGGGGGAGAGAGGTGAGAGGCAGGATGCGGGGTGAAGGATGAGGGGGATGGACGGAGGAGGAGCAGGAGGAGGAGTAGGAGGAGGAGGAGGAGGAGGAGGAGGAGGAGGAGGAGGAGGAGGAGGAGGAGGATACGCTTGCACATAGCGGTACGACTGGGTGGGAGTGCTGCACTTGTCCAGCATTTTGGCAGCAGGCTGATGTGACGATTCTCTGGAACTCGACTTTATTCTCGCCGACAGCGTTGTGCTCAAGTATCGTTTCCCTCCAGAGGAAGTCGGGCTGTACCATATTTTCCAAACAGCGGAGCCCGTGGTTGGCCCCACGTCTTCCAGTGCACGTTTACTTCGCGAAGCAGTCGCCTCCCCGCGATAGCCGCAGCTTCAGCCGCGAAGGCCCCGACGAATCTTGGTACACTGACCCAGGGTGTTGACTTGACGTTATCAGGGGTCCGAGAGGCGTAGTACATCCTGAGCAAGAACTGATTCGCAGAAATGAGTAATGCCAGTTGCGAGAACGGAGATTTCAGGTACGCTAGCACGGCAGTCGAGCGCAGTGCGTGCCACTCCAGGCGACAGAAGAGTGGACAACGACGACGCGCTCACAATGCTGAGGGAAACTACCGTGCGATGCCGGTCGTCAACCGTAATTTGCATTGCTAATCCGATGGAACACGTTCGGACGGAAAGTCAAATACTCGAGCGAAAAGTTGTTGAATGCGCTTGCCGAAGTTACGCATGGCAATTGGCAGGCTCAGAAATCTTTGGACAGCGCGCTGGAGCTCATGGATGGAACGTTGCCAGACGACAAATAAGATGACCTGATAAACGGCATGAGTGGGCGCGGTTCACGTTCAGCGGATATACCAATGAGTCACAAGCCAGAAGACAATGCTATGATGCGAAAAAAGGGGAATACAAGATTGGCGAGGACTACTGCGCCAAGATGGGCGAGGACATTGTGGCATGTGTTGAGCGAGAAGTTGGAGGGGGCGGAATCCCGTGGAAATCTTAAAGGTCATCACGCATGTGACCTCTTAGTGGTTCACAAAGATAAACATATCGTATTTTGCTGTTTCTGGAGTCGCGCTTCCACAACATGAACCTCGAATCGTTGCCTGAAGCTCCCAAGAAGGAGAAATATGTCGCGATGGGGTGCATGTGTAGAGTTTCTGGCAAAGTAAGGCGCTGCATACTCGTTGCCATTGCCATTCTGAGTTACTGCGCTGTGGACCCGCATGACCCATGCGGGTTTTTTTGGTTCGACGGCCGGAATTTGTTTTTCACGAGACACCAGAGCCGTGCAATCTTCACACTTATCATGTCTTCACAAGTGCGAGGATCTGGGCCAGGGAGAAAACCTTTGGACGTCGACGCAAACAAACTGCCACTCGATGGTGGTCGGTCGGCGGGGCCCAGGCGCGAACGATTCCGGCCACTGTGACAAAGGCGGAAATTTGTGGACTTAGATTGCGGAAGACACGAGCGGAGTCGACGACGCGCATGAGGCGGGCAAAGGCGCAGGCAACGGGAAGAGGCCCATGTTTTTATTGGCTTGGAGGACGCGGCGCAGTGCCATTTCTTGCAAGCGCAACGCGCCAAGTGTCATCATGGAAATCAGAACGGGGAGAGACGCAGGCCCAGCGAAGCCGCCAGGCGCACCGACGCATGGACTGGGGGGGGAGGAGGGGGCGGGGGAGGTGGAGGAGGAGGAGGAGGAGGAGGGCGAGGGCGACGACGAGGGCGAGGATGAAAGAGGGGGGGCCCGCGCGACGTCCAAATCGGCCAGCGCGCAAGGTGGTTCCACGGGCGAGGTTGGGAGGTCAGCGGGGCGCCAATCATCGCGTCGTTAGAGGGAAGCGCGAGCTGGCGCCCGCATAAAGGCGCCAACTTAAATCGCATCCGGCCCATCACCGCGCGCCGCTTTGCCGGATATCTAAACTCGGGATCAGTGGAGATCCAGGTGGTCGTTTGTGTTGGTCGGGCCCCCGCTGCCCCCCCCCCCTCCCGCGCCTCTCTCTGCGCTCCCTTGCGCGCCGCCATGTCGGCTCGCAAGGGCCCGCTCGCTGTCGCGGCGCGCCGGCGACGGGCGCGCCCGCGCCCCCGTGAGTGGAAAGAGAGAGCGCTCTCTTCTAGCGCGGGCCCCCCTGTTTGCACCTCGCGCCCCTCCGCGCCCGCGCAGTCGCCCCCGCGCGGCCCGCAGCGGCAGCGGGGCCGGCGGTGGAGATCCACGAGGGAAGTCAGGGCGACCCCCTGCCTTTCGATTCTCGGGCGACATACTCTTCGCGCTTATCCTGCCCCCCCCGCCCCCCGCCCCGTCGCACCGAACGCCGCCGCGGATTCCCCGGGCGACGCTCAGCTTTGAGAAGATGAACATCCGGCAGAGTCGCGGTCGCAACTGGATGCGAATCCATGGGCGGAAGCTGGGGTGCGAGAAGACGTTCCTCGGGAGGGCGACTGCAACGCGCGGCGGCCCTCATGCGGGGCGGGCTGCGCGGGGGCGCGGCGCGCCGGCTGCGCCAGATCGGCAGAACGCCACTGCGTGGACTGGCTATGCCTTTTTACCTTTCTTGTCCCGACTTCTCGGGGAGATGCCGCTGCCAGACCGTGCGATCGCCGTCGGGGGCAATTCCCGGAGCGCCCGCAGGCCCCCACGATGCCGAGCGACCCACCGCCCGCCCGGGGTGGAACATGTCAGGATACTCGTCTAGACCCCCGCGCGAAGAAGTTTCTAATTTCTAATGTGGTTTGCCACTGCCGGAACTTTACAATCATAGCGCGGGTGCCTCATCTGTCGGTGCGCCAAAGACGACCTCAAGATCACCATTCACCAACTCACCGAGGCAGCTGTCTTCAGAGAGCGGCGGGCAGGTCGCTGCGAAACACATCAGAATGGCTTTGGCCGAGCACCAAGACTGCAAGATGCCGAAGGGTTTTGACATTCTCTTCCATTCATATCCCTCGCAAGCGCGTGCTTTTCCGAGAACTCGAGAAGCGCGCGACCCTGCCGAAGGATTTGAAGGAGTGCGTGTTTCTGAGGGATTCCAAGTTCAATGACGCGGCTCTGGACGCGGTTGAGCACTGGGCAGAGGGCTCGTGCGATTGCGATTTGGCGCGCGACGCGCTTCGGAAGCTCGAGCGACCACTACCTTCAGGCAAAGGCGGCCGTCGCGTCCGCTGCATGAGTTCCTCCTCGCACATGTCGGATTTCAAGGGGATGATGGCGGATGCGAGGGTCCTTAGTCGGATCGCGACGACTTCCCATGTATTATCATGCAACAGTCTCTGTATACTTTGCCCAGGTCCTATGGGGAAAACTATGTCGTGGTTTTGGTCATCGAGTGCATGGGCGACTACGGTGTGTTCTTCGTAGTTGGGGACTTACCCGATGGCGCGGCTCTGGAAGAGGATGGGGCCGCCGCCATCTATGCTAACTACAGCCAGGTACAACAGCACCTACACAGCCGGAAGCTTGGACGAGGCCTGTCAAACAGGAAACCGGAGAGCCAAGCGGCCCCCGAAGGGGAACACGTCGAGGGGGGCGCGCTGGACATGCTAAGTGAGCTGATGAGTCGCCCGAGATGCATCCGATGTGGGAAGATGGGGCACTTGGCTCGAGACTGTGCGAGCGAGCCAGACGAGCAATAACGCAAGCGAGAAGCAGGCTTCGGCGGCTTGCAAGCAGTTTCCCCCGAAGCAGACGATGCTCTGCATGCCGCTTGTCATCGGGGATCTACGATCCAGCCTGGAGTAATTTCCTGCACTGTCCCTATCTTTGCTGCCGCCGACACTGGGGAACATGTTTTCGTTTGACATCGCGCTCGCATGGATTTCGGCCTGGTGGGCGCTGGAGCTCAGCATGGAGCATGCGGCAAAGATCAGTGCGAGAACATGGAAAATTCTAGACGCTTCGCGCATCCCCACCAGCCCGTCCAGAAACGACGCCCAGGCGAGTAGAGGGTCGTCCTGAGGGGCTTTTTCGGCGTCTTGGGTGCCTCGGGGGGGC